TTTAAACTAATTAAGTGGCCTAAAATTAATCTGTGGGGAGCGGTAAATTACTAACATTGGACTTATCAATAATCCATACACACTTTATATATCTTCCTAATGGTATTTTGTATTAGTAAGGTGCTTCGTGGTTTTTAAAAACATTTTATCAGTGTATCATCTGATGCTCAAACAATGCATTCACTGAAGCAGGCGCAACCTCCAACCAGTAAGGTCCTCAGATGGGCTGCCTGAGGGGCTCTGTATGCGCTGGGTTTAATTAGCAAAATGGTCTGAGTACTGAATCACCACTTACTGCAAGTTTTCTAAGGAATAAGCTCCAAACACCTGCCTCAAAAGTTTGACTTTTGACAGATAACAATGCTATCTATCTGTAAGGTACAATCTAGTATACACCACATCACAAATGTTTACTTTCTCCTTTATGTGGTATTTTAAGAAAAGTACTTTACAGCATATAGTAACATATGTATTTACAGTTTTAGGGTTTGTCTCTCCCAGAAATCCTATACAACATACAAACCCAAGAAGTAAGAAGTGAGTGGACAATTTCCCAATGCTATTGGGGAAAAAAAAAAGGGTTTGTTTTAGAACACTTCAAGTCAGCTATTGGATTCTTATGCTTTTTTCCTAAGCATCAGTATAGAAACTTAAAATCTGGACGAATATTCTGCTGTACCTTCTGGTAATCTAGTCTTTTCTTATTTAAATAAAGACCAAATGTTTTCTAAGCATTTAGTTTTACTAACATATCATAAGTGGATTCACTCTACAGGGAAAAAAAAAAAAGTTTTATTTATTTAAGTAATCTGCACCCAATGTGGGGCTTTAACTCATCACCCAAGATCAAAAATCACATGTATCTCAATCAGATGCCAGTCGGGGCACCAGCCAGGTACCCCCCAAAATGCCTTTTTTTTGCTCAGAAATCTCCATACACCTGTCACAGTATGTTCCAATGAGGTACAGAACAGGGATTGGAGTTTACCTGGCAGCCTTGACAATAATTTCCAAGAAGAGAAATGTATTAAAGAAATAAAAAATGGCCCAACTACAGAATAATGTTAAGTAATGTTGAATGATCACAACTGTATTGTTTTCCAAGTACATTCTGATGGTCAAGAACGTAATGGTGTTCTAAGAGTACCCGAGCCACCCAGAGGCACAGATGTGTCCCACGGGAAAGGACAGTTACTGCCCTCCGTGAAATTTACCTAAAATATGGTCGAAGTACTTCACATATACAGAAACATATTACAGATTTAGTACTTACGAATTGCTAAATTTTTCCTTAACCTGTTTCTATTTCCAATGTGGAGCTTCCCTTAGAATTATGTCTCATTTAATTATCACCACCACCGAATTTGCTTTGGTTTCATCTAAAATGGTCATTCAAGTGGTACTCATGTTCTAGGATTTATATATATTTGGTATTTTCATAACCTTGTACTAACTGCATTATTTCTTTTAAAATAGAGAAATTAAAATACATATAGTGTTCTAAGTGGGATCTGATAAATGCTGAGCAGAAGAGTAATTAATTTTTGACTTTCACATGTATACTCCTCTAGCTTATGCTGAAAAAAACTAGCAACAGTACCAACTTGCCCAGCTAGACCATAATCACCAGGTAATCATTTCAATTAAATTTTCTAAGACTGAGAGAGCACTTTATTAAAAAAAAAAAGCCAGCTGGGGCTAAGAAGAAACAAATACTTTCTACATAATATGAAACAAAATTGCATCATATGGCTTAATAGAAAGGTTCTGGATAAATTATGCTTAATTGCAGGAAAAAATACATTAATTAATAATTATTAAAATCTGCCTATGGATGAAGATAAGGCAACATTAAACAAAACTACTATTTTTCAGTGAACTTGACAGACTCCTGAGACCTTTTCCTTTTCCTCTGGGCACCCATTCCCCACTTTAACCAGTCAGTGCTGTTCAGTTTTTCTTACCAGCCTCCCCACATTAAAAGAAAAAGAGAGGGGCGCCTGGGTGGCTCAGTGGGTTAAAGCCTCTGCCTTCGGCTCAGGTCATGATCCCAGGGTTCTGGCATTGAGCCCTGTGTCGGGCTCTCTGCTCAGCGGGGAGGCCTGCTTCCTCTCTCTCTCTCTCTGCCTGCCTCTCTGCCTACTTGTGATCTCTGCCTGTCAAATAAATAAAAATAAATAAAACAAATAAATAAATAAAAATAAAAGAGAAAGAGATTTGACCTCATTTATATTATTCATATTTGTGTATATATGATTTCTAATGTTGCATTTTAAATCTCTTATTCTAATTGGAAACATCTCATCCTTGTTTAAAGTTTTAAAAATATAACCAAACAACTGGAGAGTGTGAACCAAAAAACCAATCTCTCTGAGAATGGGAAATAAAAAAAATGGGTGAGGAGTACCATGTTTCTTTAAATTTATTTTAATTTCAAAGGTTCTATTCCTACCAGAAAAAATCTAAGATAAGCAATAAACAGTTTATTTTGGGATTGAGAAAACTGGAGGTAGGGGGAAGCACCCCCCAAAGCCCAACTAAACCAAACAACAACTCTTTCTTCCCTATCTTCCAGGGTGTCCAGATGGCCTAGAACAGTATAGGAGGGGACCAAGTCAAAGTGTGGGTGATAGGGATTTATCCCTGGGAGCTGCCACGGTCACAGCCCACATCCCTTCTCACAAACTTCTTGCAAACCCTCAAAACGATCCTAATGCCAAGACACCTCTTTCTCTCTGGCCCCTTTCATTTCCCCTCCCTTTTCCATCTGAACACAAGTCCTTTCCTTTTCCAAACATTGGTTAGACAACAAACTCTTCTTATTAAATTTCCGTGAAGAAGAGTTTATCTCTTTACCTGTCCCAAGTCTCCTAGGAAGTGTGTGTGTATGTGAGTATGTATATATAAATAAATAAGTGGGCATAATGTGTACTATCATTAATATTTTAGGATATGATTCTACATCATGATTTAATCTTTGCTAATCTAATATTTTAGAATTTTCTTCATTATTTCTATGTCTAATAATAAAGTTTCTATAATCAAACATATTTCTCAAAAGCTTCAATTTGATCAGTAGAAGTATTTTTCTGTATCAAACTAACCATTCCACATCTTTTATCTACTATTTGGTTTTGATCTCTAAATCAGGAGTCCTTAATCTTTTTTTAAATCAATCTATTTTGAGACTAGATCAAAAGCTGTGAAACTTCTCTGCAGAGAACTGCAGACGTATACAACATTTTGCACAGAGACTGGGTTAAAAAATTCTCTGAGTTCAGTTGGCAGCTGCACTCATGGTGAGCAAAACAGAAGCTGAACCACTGTGCTGTACACCTGAAGCTAATGGGACACTGTGTGTCCACTATGCTCAAATTTAAAAAAAATTTAAATTAAAGTAACACCTGATTTTGAAGGCAAAAAAAATATTCTCAGGTCCATCCAGGTTAAGAACCCCTGCTTCAAGTGAATTTAAAGACCTTGAACTTACTCCTGTTAAAATAATTTTGTGAAAAGTGGACATTTCTTCAATTTCTTAGATCCCTTATGATTCCATGCATTTTTTTCATCTATAAACTAAAATTGTTTTCTGTTTATTGGTTAAAAAAGAAAGCAGGGTCAACTATAATAAAATGCCTATATCGTTAATGTTCCTTCTGGGTGTGCTGTGCTAGGTAAAGTTATGTATACCCCATGCAAATACAATCGACACGTGTCTTAAACATATACCCAAGAGTTGTATGTTTTGGGCCTGGGCCCCAGAATTGAGTTTCATTTATAGATTACAATTTAAAAATTTACTGAAGGCTAGATAAGTTTCATGGATATGAAAATGAAATTCTTCGTGGAGAAATTCTTGCAGGGCCTAGCATACTGCCTTATCCACAAGAAGTGCTACGTAAGTAAAATGGACAACATACATGGAATGGAGTCCGTGCGGTCACCAAGAATTACTTTCTTACCTTACATATGACCTTCACAATCTGGCAATGTAAGTCACACAGCGGAATCAACTGTAATTTGATAGTCATCTCTTTCATATCAAAACCCCAAATTGTAACATTTTAGTTTTAAAACTTTAGTTTCAAATTATTCCAACTCTGTACTTCTATTTGTAAAATTATGATGGTTTACACATATGAAAACATGTACCTATTTACTTTCAATGAGTACGTAATTTGAGTAGTTTTCCTCTTGAGTTGAGGGCTTTTGTGGCAATTGTGATCCTGTGGGGGACCAACTGCTCACTTTGTTTTGTTTTTTTGAGTTAACATATAATGTAATATTTGTTTCAAGGTACAGGTCTGGGATTCATCAGTCTTCCACAACACCCACTTTGTAACCAGTTGCCAAGGGTTGAGATCTTTGACCAGGAATTTAAGATAAATGGCTCATAAAGCGACCAAGTCTATTCAGGCTTCATCAGTGTGGCACTTTGCTATAAACACCTTTTAAAAAAGCAACCTACATTAAAAAAGTCTCAAGAAGCTGGTACAGAATATTCAGTAAATGTGTTTGCTGTTGTTTATGCAAATGCCATATTAAAATGTTAAATATTAAAACATTAAAATTTTAAAGTGTAAGTATACCTAAATTCTCAATTTAATCATTTAGAAAATCTTAGGAGACTGCATGATTTAAAAACAAATTCCATTTCTATTAATAAAAATCTACTTAGCCCAAATGAGTGTATATATGTGTGTGTATATATATATATATATATATATATATATATATGCTTGATGTTTGCCTTTAAGTACTTCTGCTCAGAGTGTCAAGCAATCAAGTAATGACAGTGCCTCCAGAATGCCATTTTTAGAGACTTTTATCACTCAGTGAAAATAACTACTTCAAATGATATTTTCATATTAACAAGTCAGCATAAGAATGGTTTGGAGCCAACTATTTTCATTATTGATTAAAAATTTAATATTAAACCACTGTCCTGAGATAGTACTTTACGTTGGGTATATACTGAGTTACTAACACAGAATTCCTACCTGTAATGTACATGTGTGATGGTTGGTTTCCTGTACCCGAGGATCCAGGTCTGAATATCTATGGGTTCAGCTTTGGGGTAAGCTATAGTTGTATCTATTATCCACTGGAGGCCTTTCGATTTGCTACCTGAGGACACAGCAAAAAACAAGTTAAAATTGGATCAAAATTTTTTTTTTAAAGATTTTATTTCTTTATTTCATAGACAGAGATCACAAGGAGGCAGAGAGGCCGGCAGAGAGAGAGGAAGGGAAGCAGGCTCCCTGCTCAGCAGAGAGCCTGATGCGGGGCTCGATCCCAGGACCCTGGGATCATGACCTGAGCCGAAGGCAGAGGCTTAACCCACTGAGCCACCCAGGCACCCCAAAATTGGTTCAATTTTTATAACATTTATAAAATATAGTATAAACAAAGCATACTGATGTATCTTCTGCTTTATGAAAACAGGATGAACTCTGGTGTTACTGTTTCATATGATACACTTAGGATGATACCAAGTATTTCCTAATATGAAATGGCTGAATCTCAAACAAATAAGCAAATAACAAAGCACTATTATTTATTGGACATGCACGACTCAAGCATTCAATACAACAGTGCACTGCCAAGGTCTAATTTATATTTTATCACTCATAAAAACTGGCCTATGAAAAAGTCAGAAGCTAAAGTATCACATTACAAAAGTAAAAAAAAAAAAACAGTTCTCAAAATAAATCCATTCACCAAATACAATACAGTATAATATAAACACCAAGATTTGTGATACCTGGAAGACATTAATAAATGCTGGAATAAGGCCCCAAATTAAGCATTTTATTGACATAGGATTGTCAGTTGCTATTCTTATTTAACATAGACAAACAAAAAAAACCCCTCCCACTTTAGCAAGAGTTCTACGCAAATAAAGCAGTAAAACCATCCACTCTTTGGTAGGCATGGCAGGTAACTGCAATTATCAAGAGGTTCTGTTTACTCTGGTTATTGGCCTCCTGCTTCTATTCCCAGCATGGAGTAAAAAGTTGAACAAGAATTGAGAGGGAATCCTCACAGAGAATGCTGAGGACCAGACTTGGGTGACAGTCTGTCCTTCGTCTGAAGTATTTAAGAGATCTCTAAAAAAATAAAACCTGTTCTAAAACCTAAGTCTAAATGTGCATTAGGAATCAATGATATTTTACTTGTGTACATCAAATAACTAAAAAGTGACCTTAAGCTTTAAAAAACTTTAGAAATATTCTGAAGGGGAAAGATACCCACAGAAATAGGTTTTAAAAAAATGTTTAAATAACCTACTGCTAAAGGAACAGAGTAAAGTAAATGTGTAAAGAAACACATTTAACAAGCTATCAGTGATATACATGCTGAAATGTTTAGGAGTAAAGTATACTGATGTCTGCAACTTATTTGATTACACTAAAAAACAACCAAGATGAACTAATGGATTGATAGAAGGATAGAAAAAGACAGAATAAAGCAAATACAGTAAAATGTTAATTATAGAATCTAGTTGGTCAGCTAGTGGATATTAACTATAAAATTCTTTCAACTTTTTACATATGCTTGAAAATTTTTATAATAAAATTATTGGGAAAAATCACCAGAGTTCAGTTTAGTAACTATTAAATCATATAATAAACAAAAAAATACTATCCCTTTTAAAGTTAATCAGACACAACTTTGATACATATATGGATCCTATACATATGTGTGTGTGTGTGTGTGTGTGTGTGTGTATTTTTTTTAAAGTAGGTTCCCCTCCCAGCATGGAGCCCAATGTGGGGCCCAACGTGGGCCCCAAACTCACGACCCTGAGATCAAGACCAGAGCCAAGATCAAGTCAAATGCTCAACCTACTGAGCCACCTGGGCCCCCCAGTATATGGATCATATATTAAAAAATAGACAAGGCACGTTCTGTACTTATATGGAACAGAACACTAAATAGTAAATATGAACACTAGAGAAAATAAAATACAAAATACCAAAACATCGAGAAGAAAATGGTAAAAGACAAGTGAAACTAGTTTTGGGATATATAACTTTCTAGAACTTCTTATAATTTTTCCTAAGCAGCTACAATAAAAATTCTAACCAAGTTAAGATAAACAAGAAGCTACTCTGCTTTCATTATAAAAAGAAATTATTTCTCTCCAAGAGAAAAAAACATGTCTTCGTGATTGTGTGATCAATATGACAACAGCCCCTACCCTTGCTATCTAGAACACCACAGGGTATTACTGACTGGGCAGAACTATTTAAAAAGCAGCAGTCGTTATTAGTGCAACTAATCCCATTTGGAAGACCTTTGCCTTCAAGCTTTGGCTTGGCTGACATTGCCACCATGTCTGAACTTTCCTTTTCTATTAAAAGACTCTTTCAATTTGTCTTTTTAATAGATGATGAAAGATTAAGAGAGCTGACTGCCAAGCAGCTGCTTAAAAAAAAAAAAAAAACAAATGAAAGGAAAACTCAGTGCAGTCTTACAGGCATTCTCTCTATGTCTGGTCCTAACCATCATTAAAAACATGTATTTCTGAGGGCCAATCCTTTTCATTTTTACTTTAGCTAAAGTATATATATATATATATATTTTTTTTTTAATAGCAAAATACTACTAAAGGAAACAGGCTTAGTGAGTTTCTTTCAGTTTTTCAATTTATCATTTATTACCCAATTTTACAGTCCCTGTGATAAACTTGTTCAAAACAGTCTTTGTGCTGTTGGTGCAAATTCTGCAAACCTTCCCAGTTCACCAGGCTATCTCCAAAACAGTTGCATCTTTGAGTATGGTTTGCTTTTTCTCGCCATAAAAGTAATACATACTCCTTTAAAAAGAAAAAAAAAAACCAGAAGTATTCAGAAATGGGGGGAGATCATCCATAATGTTACAACTCAGAGAAGCAACCACTGTTGACATTTGGATCTTTCCTTTCACTCATTTTCCACTGCTTATTGCTGACATATTTGAGCTCACAATGGTTTCACAAGAGTTGTGTGTTCCAGGGGCGCCTGGGTGGCTCAGCGGGTTTAAGCCTCTGCCTTTGGCTCAGGTCATGATCCCAGAGTTCTGGGATCGAGCCCCGTGTCGGGCTCTCTGCTCAGCGGGGAGCCTGCTTCCTCCTCTTTCTCTCTGCCTGCCTCTCTGCCTACTTGTGATCTGTCAAATAAATAAATAAAATCTTAAAAAAAAAAAAAAGGAAAAAAAAAAGAGTCGTGTGTTCCTCCCACTCCACTAACATGATACAGAATAAGCACTTTCCAAGCCATAAAAACTCTCTACAAACATCATTTGTAATGGCTGTGTTGTAGTGTGTTGGATGGATATTTGATAACTTCGGGCCTGTTCTTCCTTCTGGCTATTCCAAATTTTTGCTGTTAAAAATAATGCTGCGGGGGCACCTGGGTGGCTCAGTGGGTTAAGCCTCTGCCTTCGGCTCAGGTCATGATCTCAGGGTCCTGGGATCAAGCCCCACATTGGGCTGTCTGCTCAGCAGGGAACCTGCTTCCCCCCCTCTCTCTGCCTGCCTCTCTCCCTACTTGTGATCTCTGTCAAATAAATACATAAAATCTTAAAAAAAAAAATGCGGGGTGCCTGGGTGGCTCAGTGGGTTAAACCTCCTCCTTCGGCTCAGGTCATGATCTCAGGGTCCTGGGATGGAGCCCCGCATCGGGCTCTCTGCTCAGCAGGGAGCCTGCTTCCCCATCTCTCTGCCTGCCTCTCTGCCTGCTTGTGATCTCTCTCTCTCTGTCAAATAAATAAATAATATCTTTTAAAAAAATGCTGTGAAAAAATAATAAATAAATAAATAAAATCAATAAAAGTAATGGTGTGATAAACCTCTTTACCATGTATGTCTGATTATTTCCCTTGGATAAGTATTATTTGTAGTGGAATAATGGAGTCATTCATCAACACTTAAAGACTCTTAATAAACACTTTCAAACTGCATTAAGTTCATACTCTATATTAAAAACAAACCAAAAAAACTTTCTAGGGCGCCTGAGTGGCTCAGTGGGTTAAGCCTCTGCCTTCGGCTCAGGTCAAGTTCTCAGGGTCCTGGGATCCAGTCCCACATCCTGCTCTCTGCTCGGCAGGTAGCCTGCTTTCCCCCCACCCCCTGTCTGCCTCTCTGTCTATCTGTGATCTGTCTGTCAAATAAATAAATAAAATCTTAAAAAAAAAACTTTCTAGGGGCGCCTGGGTGGCTCAGCGGGTTAAAGCCTCTGTCTTCGGCTCGGGTCATGATCTTGGGGTCATGGGATCGAGCCCCGCGTCAGGCTCTCTGCTCCGCGGGGAGTCTGCTTCCTCCTCTCTCTGCCTGCCTCTCTGCCTACTTGTGATTTCTATCTGTCAAATAAATAAATAAAATTTAAAAAAAACTTTCTAAATTTGATAAATGAAAAAAAATACATCATTACAATTTGCATTTGCAAATCTATGATTAGTTTTTCAAATTAGTGATTTCTATTCCTGTACCATTAACCTAGCAATTCCACTTCTAGGAATCTATACTCCCGACTATACCTCCACAAATATATGAAGATATTTACAGCTTACTGCAGCAGTGGGAATGGCCAGCAGTAAGGGTGGGTGGGGTAAAGGAAAGACACCTTTGTCTTTGTGCATTTTGCATTACTTGAATGAATTATTGTAAGCATGAACTAACTTCTGTAAATAGAAACACTAAAAAATTAAATTTGAACCTTCTCCCTGGGTATTATTTCTGTTTGACAAAAATTATAATTATAAAAAGAACAATAATGTTATCTCCTGGAACTCCAGATAATTCCTGAGTTCCAACAAAAGAGTGCTAAAAGCCATCATACCTAATTCTTTAGCATCTCCTCCTGCTGGACTTCCATTTTCCTGTCGTGCTACAAGCGCACTCAAGATAATGTTTGTTGCCCCAATCCTTGGCAGAGTGACATGTGTAAGAAATGGCAAGTTATTTTTTTTGGCAAACGCTTGACTTGTTTCTCGCCTCTTCCTGAGGAAGCCCCCTTCTGGAAACAAAACAATCCATTTTCGGTCTCTGCTCCTGTAATTCTTTTCTAGGTGCTTTTTGAGAAGAAGAAGCTGCTGGTCACGATGAGATTTTCCCTAAGAAGGCAGACACACATACAATAAGTATGGGCACATTTGAAATTAAAATGCCACAAAATTAAATAGAAATAACAGCTTCTAAAGTAAAATCCCATTCACAGATCAGAAGAGCGATTTCCCCCCACTCACCTCCCCCTTTGACTGTGCGGTAAAAAGAAGTGATTAGCACTTACAGACATGAGCAAGACAATTGCTCTAATTACCTCTGAGAGTTCACTCATTCATCAGCTCAGTGACTTTACTGAGAGCGTGTAACTTGGCAGGCACTGTCCTACACACTGGAGATAGAGAAGTAAGAGACTCTCATGGAGGTTACTCGAGTAGAAAAGGTAGAAAACTAAAAAGTGTAAATTTGGATGGTGATGTGTTAGGAAGAAAATGAGTAAGAGGATAGAGAAGGTCAATGAGGTCAGAGAGAACAGCCCCAAGGAGGTGAACCGGGAGCAATGAGCTGGTAATGTGAAGGAACCAGTCAAGTGGAGAGGAGAGGGAGAGTTCTCCAAGGGACAAGAACAAAAAGGAGAAAGGCCTGGAGATGGGAACAAGTGCTACGTATTCAAAGAGCAGTACCAAGGCCAGTGTGGCTGATTTGTGATGAGTGAGGAAGACAGTGGTAGAAGAGAACATTGCAGAGAGAGGTGGGGGACAGAGAGGAAAGGCCTTGAACTTGGTAAGTAGTCTGGGATGAGAAGTCAATGGGTGGTTCTGAACAAGGGAGGGTCATGATCTTATTTACATTAAAAAAAAAAATCCAATGGCTCCAGTGACAGAAAGACTCCAGCAGATAAGCCGGCAGACTATTGCAGTAGTCCAGGCAAAGGGGTGTGATGAGATCTGACTATGGTGTATTGATGAGAAGTGGATACACTCAGGAAAGTCTGAAAGTAGAGCAAACAGGGCATTCTAATGGACAGGACCTTAGTGTGAAGGAGAGAGAAGAAAGAAGGAATCCAGAAAAATTTGTAGGAAAGCCCAAAACCCACAGACAAATATTACAAAGGTTCTTCCTTTCAGTATAGTTGATTCATTAATAATTTTCCAGCCAACACAAATACAGAAGGCCCCGAAATAACCTGTATGCATTCAGTCTTTAAATTACTCCAGTGCAAAGCAAGTAAGACTTTTACTGAACCGAACTGATCATGATTAAGCTTTATTCATTAAGTTCCCAAGACTGCATGTAAAACATTTTTATATTCTTGGAAATACCTAGTAGTAAAGTCCAAGAGACTTTCTTTAAAAATGGTAGTTTCTCTCTCTCCCCCAACAATGTTACAGATTTTTATTACTATCTTACTGGGTTCCCAAGGGGAGGAAGGGCTGCTCTTTAGAAACAAACTTGCAATATTTCTGGTAATTTTGAAATACAGTCTTTAAGTATGTAAAACTTTACATTGCAATAAAAAGGAAAATGTTTTGGAGTACGTTATTTTCTACGCTTATCTCCTCAAAGTACACTAATCACTTAGTGTAACTTTGTGATGCCTCAGGGTCATCAAACAGGGTCAACTGTTAAAACTGTGATAATTTCCTCATAACTCTCCTGATGAAAAGGGCTCTGCTTTCCCTTAGACGGCTAAGCTGCAATGGCTGCTTCTACTTATTCCCCTCCTGCGATGCTCTAAAGTATTAATGCTAATTTCTTTGTTATGTTGTTCTAATCACTGTTCGTTCATTTTGTCTCAAGCTTGTGGCCAATCCCCAATGCCACTTCCTCCTGAGGTCCCCAGGCAATGCTTGCATTCGTCTTTCTGCTCAGAAGAACCAAGAGTGTTTCCTAGAAACTAGATCATGGGCACAGCATGCAGAAAAGAAAATGTTCTGTACGTAAGTGTCTGGAGTAAAGTATGTATGTTTTGTGACACCTACAGTCATCTCAGAAGTTTCTCTACACACTTCCAGCTTATTTCTGAACTTGTGGTCTCCGATGAGACTTAATCAGATTCAACAGTTATTCAGTAAGTACTTATATGGGTAAGGCTGAAGCTGCTACATATATAAATACCAGATAAGTGTGGCATTGCCATACGTAAAAACTCTTGCATATCATATTTCAGTTTTGGAGAAAATCAAGCCTGTGATACCAGTGGCATACCAGGGAAATACCGTAATGTAGTGCTGACTTGATAAGAGGGTGTGATTCCTTCTCCTACACTAACTAAACTTGTCCCTAATGCCTGGGACCCACTCTCAATCTACCTTCCTCTATCAAACTTATACTTATTTTTTCTCTAAAGTTTTTCTGAGTTCATAAAAATCTGATGGGTTCACTTTTCCTACTATGAATTCCCCAAATATGTTCTTCTATCTGCCTACCTACCAGCAATTTAGGTGCCTTCTCTATCATGTGATAGTGACTTGTTAGTAAAAATAATGGTGAAAATATAGATGAAGAGGGGCACCTGGGTGGCTCAGCGGGTTAAAGCCTCTGCCTTCAGCTCAGGCCATGATCTCAGGGTCCTGGAATCGAGCCCCGCATCGGACTCTCTGCTCAGCAGGGATCCTGCTTCCCTCCTCTCTCTCTGCCTGCCTCTCTGCCTACTTGTGATTCTCTCTCTGTCAAATAAATAAATAAAATCTTTAAAAAAAAAAAAAGAAAATATAGATGATGATAGTGGTAATCATGATAAAAATGATGAAGAAGGGACCAGGCATTGAGTAATACACTCCAAGTGTATTACTTCATTTAAACCCCACCCTATGACGGCAGTGCCTCTTGTTGTGTTCGGGTACGGTGTTCGCTGTCTAATGGAGGGGTGGTCGACTCCATACCCTAACAGTTGTCATATGAAAAATGAGGAAACTTTGAAAGTTTAAATAAGTTGCCTTATTCATATAGCTAAGAAGCAGAAGAGTTGAGAATGGCGCAGCGGCTTGATAAATCTTTACTAAACACAGTACTGTTCCGATGTGAGAAGGAGGGTAGAGATTAGAGTATCTGCAATGTCACCATTTTACTGCTTGGGCACACTCAAACTCAGATCGAAAGAAATGTTTCAGGGAACAAAGAGTCAGAGGAAGAGCTCCCTGAGATACTAGAGCTCGCTCTATGTATTATAACTGGTTTGGGCCTATGTTTACAATAAAGGATCAGTGTGATCAGGCTATCACTGTGAAAAAGGAAAACTCATACTCACCTGTCTTATAAAGAAGTCTCCGTGAATTAGAGAAACAATTCCAAAGTTTGTGTACTTAAAAATATGATCCATCAACCACATCATTTGAGCAACAACCTAAAATATTTAAAAGCAAGAAATAATTACATGGTAAGTATTAGAAACGTGCTGTAGTCTAGCCAGGGCTTTAAGTTTTAAATAAAATCACCTAAGCATCCTCTTAATTAAGCTATGTATTTTAAATCCAGTGTTTATTTCTATAATTAAAGCACAAAGTCCCCATGAAAAATTACTGATCTCGAGTCCAAGTCTTGAAATCTCAGGTCTCAGGTAATACATATTACTGTGTAACAAATAAAGCTGAATTAACTTCTTAAATCTGGACTTAAGGATTCCAAATTTGTTCTACCCTAAACAAAGTCTCTGGTGATTCTTATATAACTTGTAAAATTATTTTGAAACAATAAAATGAAGTTATTGAATGAGGGCTCTAAGTTTAATTAATAAGCACTAAAGCTTTATAAAATGTGACTTTACCTTAATGGCTAAAATATTAAAAATTATAAATTATAAACATATAAATGTAAAATTTAAAATTTTATAAAAGTTCAAAAATGTCCAAAATAAAAGAACATTCAAGTTCATTTCATAGAATGATTTATATATGCGATTTTGTTAAGATTTGTTAGTTTATGCAAGGCCGTATTCTTTACCAGCATAGTAATATGCATAGCGCCTCAGTTCTTAAACACAGAAATAGTATCCCTTTTTGGTAAGAGTCAGTACTCGTATTAAGAGCAAAAGACTTGGGATGCCTGGATGCTCAGTCGGTTAGGCCGCTGCCTTCAGCTCAGGTCATGATCCCAGAGTCCTGGGATGGAGTCCCCCATTGGGCTCCTTCCTCGGCAGGGAGCCTCCTTCTCTCTCCACCTCTGCCTGCTTGCTCCATCTCTCTCTATCTCTCTCTCTCTGACAAATAAATAAATAAATAAAATCTCTTAAAAAAAAAAAGAGCAAAAGACTTTATTTCAAACAAATTTCAAAATTAAATGTAAAGTGTAAACAGGGATCTAATTAATAAAGTGGGTAATTGTTCCTCCCTGCTGAGGAAATGGCATTCCTTGTTATAATCCTTAAATAAATGCATTAATAGCTACAGCCTCAATCAAAAGAATGCAACAGAGCCCCTTTGGTTTCTATGGGAATAACGTATGTAAACTTCATCTCGAAGCACCAAATTATATGAATTTACGTATGAGGAAAAAAATGAGCACAGACATCGCTGGTGCTTTTGCAAAAACATTATAAAAGCTGACAAATAAAATAACATTAATGCTTCTGCCTTAATTTTTCAGCATCACTAAATAGTTCAACTACACAACTCCTTCCCCATGAGCTCTACTATGTTAAATCATTTTAAAAAATAAAGATATGTGCCCAGTGAAGAAGTCATTCCCCAAGGCAATTAATACAGAATAAAATGATTGCCATCATCTCGTTTTTTTCAGTCTTGTTTTGCTTTGTAATGATGACTACTTTGTTTAAGTAAATTGAGATTTGAATTAAATGGAATTTGCTGAAAAGTGTCCCAAAGAACAAACAAAAAGCAAGTTGCTTTAACCTATAAAATACTTGAGCTTTATACAAGTAGGAGGTTTAGCAGCTATTTATTGATTTCTGGGTTTAAAATACCAACACTAAAGCCACGAGCTTTTATGTTTCACCTTACATTTACAGTGGATTTATCTCTTCAGTTAGAAGGGCCACCTAAAACAATTCATTTCAATAAGACAGCCAAGCTACTTCTGAGATTTGTATGGGTAATTCTGTCTTAGCTTATTTTAGGGGAAATGTTACAAGTCAATAAATGTTTATTATATGTCTAATAAAGTTCTTTTGACAGAAATAAAAATTCTTAGTTTTATCATAATTTGTCATAAAAGGACATGACTGAATTCACAGATACTTATTTTTAAAAGGTACCAGCACATTTGGAAAATACAATTAATCCTTTGTTTCATATTCCTCAAAAGAGGGTCAGTAAACACCAGCTGCCTGAAGCAACTCTCAGTGTTTCATAGATCTGTCACTCCGAGCTCTGTCAGGTAATTCCAAGAAACAGAATTGGCCCACATCAATTTTTCTTTATCTGGAAGCATGGGTTTTCTACATATCGAAACATCTAGAGACGATTACATGAAGGACTATGTTCTTTATATCCTTCAGAAAGTATAGTTAAGTCAATGGTTCTCCTGTTCAGAAATCTGTAAGGACAGTTTGGGTTGTCACGACGACTAGGGTGGGCTACCAGCATTTAGTGGGTAGCAGGCAGGTATGGAAAACAGCCAGCAATGCCCCAGACAGTTCAGGACAAAAGTGCTGTCCTCCCAACGGGCCAATGGACCCCCACTAACAGGAAAGGCTCCTACAAGAAGTCTCCTGAATTCCAAAGTATGTTACACTCACATAGCCATTAAACTAGTATTTTTTTATTTGTCCCACAATTTAGCGTTAGCCTTCTTTCTTTGACTGTACCCACAGAGTATGCAGTAAGTCAAGTGAACATTTTTACTGGTAAATATAAATTAATATTGCCCTATACATATTAGGCAGGAAGGAGAGATTATGGTACTTCCAGCTTTATACTTCTCAATTATTCTTTTATGAAAGAAGATTTAAAAAAATTCTTTAAGGTTCCAAGTTACTCACTAATAACAGATTATAAAAAATGTTTAGTATAACTTATCTGAAAATAAAAACAAAATTACTCTGAACAGAAAAATGAACCTAAGTCAAACTAACAGAAATCTTTTTACAAAAGCAAACAAACACGACAAATTTTCTTTTATCCACATAATTGGTGAATTTCAGATTACCTAATATTCTAGTTAATATAGTTATCATCCATGCCAAACTTGGGTGAGAATGATTAAGCTGGACATATTTATACTGACCACTGTAATCATTCTTTGAAATTCAAAAACCAATTAAGGACACTGTAAACCTTCAGAAATTTCACTACGAATGTAATGACCATATCATTAAGAATAAAAATTCTCTTTGATGAAAACCAAATAAACTAGTCTTTACAAAATTTTAACATCACAAGTAATAAATATTAATATAAGAGCAAATATATTTATACAGGGATATTCTTTTAACAATTCAAGATTCTGAATATAAGATATAAGATAGAATTTATTCTACATTCCAGCAAGATTGTGCCTCTGCTTTTCAGATGGACATGAAAAATAGATTCCACAATAATCAAACATTTTCCTTTATTCTTACCTCATCTTCTGACCCCCACCATGATCTACTGAATCAAAATCTCTAGGACGTAAATATACCAGGCTTAGTCTTGCCTTGGTGTTCTGGCCGAGACTGTTTCACTAAAGAAGGCCTTCTTGCTTCACCACTCTAACTAGGCCAAGTTTATGTCCTTTCTCCTCTACAAAGTTTTCAATACCTGTCATACATGGGGAGCTCACCCTCTACTAAACACCTTTCACTTTGCAATTAAGTATTGTTCACTATACTTTCCCTCCACCTACGCTGGACTGTTGGCTCCTTTTAGAGGACAGTGTCTTAAAGGATTGATGTTCAATCCTTATAGTTACTGACCATGAGTATGAAGCACTTAATAAACATCTATTGGTTTCATTGCTATTAGGATAACTATGAACTCCACTAATTTATACACTTTCTACTTATTTAGTTTTCTATGAACACACCTCTTTATCTTCTAAGGTGATAATTCTTTTAATGCTAAAGACTGAATTTATTTTAAACCCACCCCTTTGATAGATGTATTTAGTGATCAACAAAAGTCATGTGAAACCAACGGTTCATACATAGCCTAGCAACACCTAACAAAACTGGCCTGGTATCTTTCCTTTCAATTTGCTTTGTAAAGGATGTTTACCTTTTTTTTCTTCTGGCTAAAGATCCTCAAGATCAGCTAATTCACTGACCAACTAGACTCTTCTATCTTAAACAATACTGCTTTTTGTTCCTGTATTTTTCAAACCAGTGACCCACCATTTCACCTCAAGACAGCTCCCAATCTGAACATCTTAACTCTGATCTCTCTAGAGTGATCAGAGTTATCTCCAGAGAGATCTTAACTCTGATCTCTCTGGAGATATCATTCACATTATTTTCCAGTTACTTTTTTGAAAGACCACATTCCTGTCCTGAAGCTGGAATTAGAATTATATATATACATATTTTTTCTTTTGATTTTTCTCCATTTTTTCTTTAAATTTTCTCAATTTTGGAAAAGCATAGATATTCAAGTTTACGTTCCAAACCACAGTAAGATACTCAAACAGATTCTTTATCAACCCCCCACCCCGCCTGCCTTCAGGGTGCTTACCAGGCCTTTGTCCTGGAGGCACATCATCAGAGTGCAAACGTCCCCCGTTGCCTGATGATTCACCAACATCACTGCTTCATCTTGTGAAACGGCTTTAATATCGTCCCCCCATTCCATCACTGGAAGAACAACAAAGCTGTCACTTTAAAGATTTTACATTACTAGAAACCTTATATTAGACAAACTGGTACACATCAATGATGAGAGATCACTTACCTAAAACTTTAAAAGTCTGAGCTAAGTTTACTTCCTGTAAGTATCAGGCTGTCGATATAATATTTTATAAAGCCCCCAAACATCCATTAAAATGTAAAAATGCTCATCCTTTGACCTAGAAGTTTTACTTCTTAGAAATTTATCCTGCAGAAACATTTGTCCCAACAGGCAAAGATAGATGCGTAAAGGATGTTTATTGGGACTTAAATGTTCACCAACAGGGGAGTCAATAAGAAAGTTATGATATCATGGAAGAGTATGAACCCACTGAAAGAATAGAGGGTATCCCTATACACTAACCCAAAAAGGACTTCTTATCAAGAAAATAAAGCAAATCACAAAACAATATATATAGCCTGATTCCACCTTTTTAATGAAGGAATAAACTTTGTTATTTAATACAGTAAAAAAAAGTCTAGGGGAATGAATTCTAAACTACTGATATTGATCACGATTAGGATGAGCTTTCTAGAGCCCCTCAAATTCTACTTTATAATAAAATGTGAAAACATTCCAAATATATGCAAGTATTTTCATTTTTAAATAAGGAAACTAATGAAGATGTTACACTTATTAAGAACCTCCAGACAAAAAGTCATTATTATGTACACTCTAAGGAAAACACTGGCATCTCCATGTAGTTATGTCTCATTTAACAGTAAATCCACTTCACAGAAAAAAGATAACTGACCAGCAGTTTTGAGCATCAGGATTCTACAAGTCAAAGCATCCAGGGTTCCTCAAATGTCTGACATGAATTATGAGGGGCTGATTATATGTTAGTATTCACTCCTCTCACACACGGCTAAAGGGAAAAAAGCCAACCCACCTGCCTGTAACAGTTCTGGATGCAAGAGGCATGGGGAGTTGTGGAGCTCACCTGCTCTGCCTCCCCCAGCCTCCGTCCTTTTCCAGCCATCCTTCACTGTCACCCCAACATAGCAGAGCTCCTCATAAGAGTTCATGTGAGAAAAGGGGTCTGCTAATTGCTTCTTTCTGTTAAAACCCATTTAAGCAAGGCACCTATTCATTGATTTTAAAGACTTTAAAATTTGTATTAAGGAAATTTTCAGCTGGGCTAAACACAGTATTAAGTTGTGGGACCTCTTTGCAAAGTGAGGTATTCTAATCATTACCAACACTCAAATGTTATTACCAACGCTCAAATAGCTTATATGGTATAGGAAATTTTTTATTTTAGTTTCTTTTAAATGAACGCAGCATAAAAGTACACTAAAGGGATGTCAAATAATCCTTGAGGAATAGAGGCAGAACCGTGGGAGAGAACCCAGCCCGGCCCCTTGAAAAATGCAGCAGCACCAACTTTCCTTCCAGTGGCCTTTCCTTCCTCAAGTTCCAATTCAGCTCAGCTGACAAGCTAACTACTGAAACATATTTAAACAGCTGCTGTGGGGAGTATGAATTGGTACAACAGTTTGGGAAGTCAATTTGGCAATATATATCAAAACTGAGAAATGCAGAAATCTTTTATCCAGAAATTCTACTTCTAGGAATTCAACTTACAGATACACTTATTTATGCACAGACCGACGCATATGCAAAACTGGTTACTGCAGCCTTATTTGTGAGAGCAAAGAGGAAGGGGTGCCTGGGTGGCGCAGCTGGTTAAGCGGCTGACTCCCAGTTCTGGCTCAGGTTGTGATCTCATGAGCCCCACGTCAGGCTCTACGCCCAGCTTGGAGTCTGCTTAAGATTCTCTCTCTGTTGCATTCTGCCCTTCCCTCCCTCTCATGCCCGCTCTCCAAAATAAATAAATTAATTAATTAAAAAAAAAAGAGGAACGAAGAAAACAACTCAAAAGGAAGACTAGATCAAATTCATAGAAATTGAAAACCAATAGTGGTTTCTAGGAGGGGGACTATTCAATTTGCAGAGCATTTCAGTTTTGCAAGATGAAAAACTTCTGGAGATTGGTTATACAATAATGAGAATGTACTTAATGCTGAACCATACACTTAAAAATGGTTAAGAGGAGGGATGCTTGGGTGGCTTAGTCACTTGACCGATTGACTTTGGTTTCAGCTCACGTCATAATCTCATGGGTGGTGGGAACAAGCCCCCCAACCCCCATGGGGCTCCAGGCTGCTATGGAGTCTGCTTAAGATTCTCTCTCCTTCTTCCTTTGCCCCTGCCCCTGCTCATCTGTGCTCTCTTGCTCTCAAATCAATTTTTAAAAAATCTTTAAAAAAATGGTTAATTTGATAAATTTTATGTTATGTATATTTCACCACAATTAAAATTTTAAAAAGGAGACTAATTATATCTATGTAAAGGAATATTATGTAATCATATAATTTGTATACTAACATGGAACAATATGCTATAAGTAACAAGAGCAAAATGCAGAACACTGTGGCAGGGATGCCACCAATTGGGTTTTAAAAAGGATGGGGGGAGGGGCACCTGGGTGACTCAGCAGGTTAAGCATCCGACCCTTGATTTCTGCTCAGATCAATATCTCAGGGTCATGAGATCTTGATTTTAGCTCAGAGCAAGATCTCAGGGTCATGAAATCAAGCCCCACTTCAGGCTTGTGCTGGGTGCTAGGTGTGGAGCCTGCTTAAGATTCTCTCCCTCTGAGGGCGCCTGGGTGGCTGAGTTGATTAAGCAGCTGCCTTTGGTTCAGGTCATGATCCCGGGGTCCTGGGATGGAGCCCTGAGTTCAGATTCCCTGCTCGGCATGGAGTCTGCGTCTCCCTACACCCCTTCCCTCATGCATGCTCTCTCTCTCTAATAAATAAAATCTTAAAAAAAAAAAAAAAAAAGATTCTCTCCCTTCCTCTCCCTCTGACACCCTGCTCACACCACCTGCTCACCAACCCACCCTCAAAAAATAAAATATAATAAAGTAAAAAGAATGGAGGGAGATATATTTGCTCAACAGAAGTTCCCCCATCATGCCTCTGTTGATAATCCACACATGCAGACAGACAGACAGACACACACACACACACACTATTCTTTTATTAATTCATTCCTCATTCAGTAAGTCAGCACCAGGCACTACTAGGTGTTGTGGATATAAAATGAAAAAGTCAGCTGCATTTCTATACACTAAAAATGAGACAGAAGAAAGAAAAATTAAGGAGTCAATTCCATTTACAACTGCACCAAAAACTATATGATACCTAGGAATAAACCTAACCAAAGAGGCAAAGAATCTGTACTCAGAAAACTATAAAGTACTCATGAAAGAAATTGAGGAAGACACAGAGAAATGGAAAAACATTCCATGCTCCTGGACTGTAAGAACAAATATTAAAATATCTATGCTACCTAGAGCAATCTACACATTCAATGCAATCCCTATCAAAATACCATCAATTTTTTTTTTCCCACAGAGCTGGAACAAATAACCCTAAAATTTATATGGAACCAGAAAAGACCCCAATAGCCAGAGGAATGTTAACAAAGAAAACTGAAGCCTGTGGCATCACAATTCCAGAGTTCAAGCTCTATTGCAAAGCTGTAATCAACAAGACAGTATGGTACTGGCACAAAAACAGACATGTAGCTCAAATGGAACAGAATAGAGAACCCAGAAACAGACCTTCAACTCTATGGTCAACTAATATTTGACAAAGCAGGAAAGAATGTCCAATGGAAAAAACACAGTCTCTTCAACAAATGGTGTTGGGAAAATTGGACAGCCACATGCAGAAGAATGAAACTGGACCATTTCCTTATACCACACACAAAAATAGACTCAGAATGGACGAAAGACCTAAATGTGAGATAGGAATCCATCAAAATCCTCAAAGAGAACAGAGGCAGCAACCTCTATGACTTCAGCCACAGCAACTTCTTCCTAGACCTGTCTCCAAAGGCCAGGGAAACAAGGGCAAAAGTGAACTAGTGGGGCTTTATCAAGATAAAAAGCTTTTGCACAGCAAAGGAAACAGTCAATAAAACCAAAAGACAATCCACAGAATGGGAGAAGATATTTGCAAATGTCTTATCAGATAAAGGGCTAGTACCCAAAATCTACAAAGAACTTAACAAACTCAACACCCAGGAACAAATAATCCAATCAAGAAATGGGTAGAAGACATGGGCAGACATGCCTCCAAAGAAGACATATCAATGGCCAATAGACACATAAAAATATGCTCACCACCATTCGGCATCAGGAAATACAAATCAAAATTACAATGAGACACTACCTCAGACCAGTCAGAACAGCTAACATTAACAAGTCAGGAAACAACAGATGTTGGCGAGGATGCAAAGAAAGGGGAACCCTCCAACACTGTTGGTGGGAATGCAAGCTGGTGCAGCCACTCTGGAAAACAGCATGGAGGTTCCTCACTAAGTTAAAAATAGAGCTACCCTACGACCCAGCAACTGCACTACTGGGTATTTACCCCAAAGACACAAATGTAGAGATCCGAAGGGCACCTGAACCCCAATGTTTACAGCAGCAATGTCCACAATAGCCAAACTACGGACAAATGAATGGATAAAGAAGATGTGGTATACATATACAATGGAATATTACTCAGCCATCAAAACAAATGAAATCTTGTAACTTGCAACAACATGGATGGAACTAGAGGGTATTATACTAAGCGAAATAAATTAATCAGAGAAAGACAATTATCATATGATCTCACTCATATGTAGAATTTAAGAAACAAACAAAGGAGGATAGGAGAAGAGAGGAAAAAATAAAATAATACGAAATCAGAGAGGGAGACAAACCATAAGAGACTCTTAATCATAGGAAACTAAGGGTTGTTGGGAGGATAGCATAACTGGGAGATGGACATTAAGGAGGACACATAATGTAATGACCACAGGGTGTTATACAAGACTGATGAATCACTGATCTCTACTTCTGAAACTAATAATATATGTTAATTAACTTAATTTTAATTTTAAA